GGCCCTAAACAATTTCCCATTTCAGAGTTGGCTGTTGAGACATTCCAGAAGTTTTTCTTGGGAGCAATCTCTCCGCCCACTAGGGCCTTACTAAGCAGCAGCAAGTTTATGAAACAAAAGTATATATAGGAAAAGAAATGTGGCAGATCCAAGGTATGAGAAAGCTGGGTTCTGGTTTGTGGCCTGCCTCTTACCAGCTGTGTAACAATGGGTAAATTATTTAACCTCTCTGTCTTAATTTCCTCATCTCTAAAATGTTAGCAATTTAATAACAATGAACTTGCTAGTTGCCACTCCTTAGAAAATAGATTTACTTCAACTAAATCTTTCAGTGAGTTTGAATATATTGTAGTTATATGTACACAGCTATGATAGACTCGAAACCAAAATAAAGATGTCATGCCCATACAGTCTAAAAGCAGCTACCGTATTTTTCTTGAATGGATCAATTTATCAGCCTGCTGGAGAAGCTCATAATAACATGCAAATAAAAAAATGCTTTGTTTTTGTTCCAGCTTTCCTCAGAACTGTTGAAAAAATTATTTCAGAGAGATATTTTGGAAGTGGGATTGCATTTTGGCTCTTCTTATTTATATCCATCTATACTGAGGAACATGTAATAATAATAGTTCCTGATTCATGTACATGGGAGATGTGAACTTCTCTATTTGATGACATTTTGCCTGGGTTGTACCTCTCTCTCTCTGCACCATCTGGCTTCTTGAAAAGTTTTTCCAGCACTAACAACTCACCCATGTCAATAATAAATTCTCTGGTTATCAGTGCCATTGTAAAGGAAACTCAGCAGCCAGGCTTCAGGTTCAAAAACATGCCAAATTCTACTCTTTCAAGTCCTCAAGCAATTCTAAATACACATTTGTGTTCATATTCAATCTTCATCTTTCCATGTCAGACAAATGTGGTTGTCTCTGATGTCAGCAGAATAATTTTCAAAGGAGTTGATCTTCAGAGATCATTATAGTGTGAAATATACATGATATTGTTTCTCTCAAAAATACAATTATTCTTCATTAAACTGTGGATTGCTCTCAGTGAACAATCACTGTTTCACAGATGCACATATGGAATATCAGGAACTAATATGTATGCTTTTATCTGCAGTAATTAGTTTCATTTTATCCTAATAAAAATCATTTTTGTCCGAACTGATAGAAATATTTTTTTAGTTTATTGGTAATTCCTTCAATATTAATTAGATTTATGTCTCTTCATTAATTTATTCATTCAAAACCCACTTACAAGTGCTCATATTAAGTGTTAATCATGTTGGAATCGACCCAATGGCAGTGGGTTTGGTTTGGTTTTAGTGTTGAAAATAAAAATCTGAAATAAAGCTGTCCTTTGGAAGCTCAGTTCAGAGACAGAAATTTAATCATAAAGAAACATGTAAAATACAAAGATGTGTGTGTGTGCACACTCTGCAGGGGTGTGGAAATGTTTGAGAGAACTGGGGAAGGATACCATAGTCCCCTGCATTGTACTTCAAATTTAATCTTTATAATCTAATGTTTTTGTTATTAGATGCCATAAAGTTGATGCCAACTCATGGTTATCCCAAGTTTTCAAGGCTCTAATCTTTTGGAAGTAGATCACCAGGCCTGTATCCAAAGTGCTTCTGGTTCCAAGAGTCTGAACTGCCCAACTTTGGGCTGGTAAAATCTAACTATATAATTCACATAAATACATATAATTTCAATTAAACAGAACAATATAAAGATAAATCCTTCAAAAAATAAACTTTGTGTTCTCTATATCCTTCTTTAGGAGCAAATTTAAAAAAAGAAAAGAAAGAAAAAAAGATAAACAAATAATTTATTGAAAAAATACACCACAACCTGACATTTCCAGCAATTGGAATCACTACAGAATCATCCCAAATTCTTGAACTGTATTTCATTTTTTCAAATAATAGATGGTAAGAATAAATGTTCCACTCCATGGTTCCAAAGCCTCAGCTTTTTAAATTATGCAGTAATTACTAAGGCAGTGTTTTGGTTAAATATTCCAGATTTTCTTTAAGTATTAAAAGATTAATCTTTTCATGGTCAGATCACATTTTACTAGAAAATTTCATTAATAAGGATACCATTTTCTCTGAAAATCTTAGATAACTAATGTATTAAGGTAATACAATTTTCCTTATTATTTATGAAAACATGTGTCTTACAATCTTTATTTGTAATAGTCTTGATTTCCAATTCAGAATACAATCTCCTGGGCTTTTCTTTGTTTTCTCTCTGTATTAACTCCAAAAGTTTCTGTGGGAAAGTTTCTTCAAGGGTCATTTTCTAAGTTTTTCTATATCCTGTAAATTATAATAAAATGCAGCACTTGAGTTTGTAAAGATAATTTCTGAAAATGACGATTGTAATCTATATACTATTAATTTTGGGCTACCTACATGAATGTTATCTTCTTTATGGAAGAATGTAGCAAATTATTTTGATATTAATTTTCATTCTTCCTCCCTTAAATTTAATTACGTTTGTTTTCCCACTGCCATTAAGTTGATTCCAAGCCATAGAGGCCCCGACTGGGTTTCAAGGTGTTAAATCTATGTGGAAGTAGATTGGCTTATTTTCCTTCCATGCAGTGGCTGGTGGGTTTGAGCCACCAACCTTCTGGTAAGTAGTCAAATGCCTTAGTCACTGCGAGTCCCCCATATGTCTCCTTCAAGGCTGTGCAAGAGGCCTTAGCAATTTATTCATATGGTCTTTATTTTACCTGCAATTAGTTCAGACTTTCCTCTCTTTCTACTCAACTTCCCCTTCATTTCATTTCCCCTCCTATGGGGTAGCATAAGGGGCTCTGGTGGTACAGTGCCTAAGGCATTTGACTACTAACGACAAGGTTGGTGGTTCAAATACATGAGCCACTCTGTGGAGGAAAGACAGGGCAATCTACTTCCATAAAGATTTACTGCCTCAGAAATGCAACTGGGGTCGTTATGAGTTAGATTCAGCTCAATGGCACTTGGTTTGGTTTTGGTTTGGTTTATGTGGTGGCATAAGAGAAACCTTAGGCAACCTGGGAATCTGGTGTAGGGAAAAGAATTGAGTTGTGGGTATATTGGGTTTGGGTTGGTTGGGATATATTTACGTGTGTGAGTGTGTGTGTGTGTGTGTGTATGTGTTTCATACTCATTTTCCTATGTAACTAGGTAATTTTATTTGTAATTTCTAATTTTTTTCTTGGGAGCTCTGGTAGCGTAGTGCCTAAGGCACTTGACTGCTAACCAGAAGGCTGGAGGTTTAAACCCACCAGCCACTCCTCAGAAGGAAGATGAGGCAATCTACATCTGTAGTGATACTGCCTCGGAAACCCAAGGAGGGGTCGCTATGAGTCTGGTCCGACTCGATGGCACATAACAACAACAACAACAATTTTTTCTTAAACAGGAGCTCTCACATTGTTTCAAGCCCTACAAATCCTGTATCTGTCTCTATAGACATTACAACTTTTCTAGAATTTTCTCTTCTCCATCAAATGAAAATAGAAATTGATGTAGTCTAAATAAAATGCTGCTAAGAAACAGTTTGTTTCAAAACATGCACAAAAAATTAATGTAGTATATTAATTTTCAAAACTATCTGTTTTAGATTATCATGCCTCTACTTCTTTTATTAACACAAATAACCAAAAGTTGACGTTTTATTAAAAAAATAAATAAAATATTTTAAATATAATGAAACCATTATAGCCTGTCAAAAGTATATTTCAGATGTCACATAAGCAATTAGACTTTCCCAAAGCATGTGTCTTGGGGGAAAGATAGGTGTTCTGCTGGAGGCCAATTAGATACGCTAAAGCTTTAAAAACCTAAAGAGCATACTTGTGAACTGATTTTCATGGTGTGTCCACCATGCTCTCACTTGGAAGGGACTATGAATTAGGGAGCTTTTCCCTGAAATAATCCCCATAGATAAATAGTTTAAAAAAAAAAAAAAAAAACTATAAGAAAATTAGATAATTTTACCAATGATGGTCATAGCAATGTAAATAAAATATCAGATACAATTATTTCAAGTTTTTTCTGTCTCTCTATACATTAGGATTCCTTTTCTATTGGTGAGCAATTTCTCTTGAACTTTGTTCATGGTAACCTGACAATCAGCAGCTCTCTAAAATAGCCCAGTGGTACCACTGTCATTGACTGCTCATTTATACAACACGTGAGCTAATAATAGTCTTTGAATTCAGAGTTTGATTTTATAATTCCTTAACTATAAAATGTCAAATAATTCTGTATAATTTCAACTATATCTAATTATGGAACATTATTTAACTCAACAGAGCTTAAAAACTGATGCTAAACATTCTGATATAGCAATGTCTTGTTTGATATGTTACTCTGAATTGTTCCATCAGAAAATAAAAGTGCTTGACAAGTGTTTCCAAACAAGTTTTCTTCTCTTTTTTCATTTTTTTCTTGTAGGTGCTTTTCTGAATTCATCTTTCTTCTTTTCTTCAGCCTACATTTAAACTGATTTGTGAAGACTATATTTAAATATAAAAGTATATGGAAAAAATAAATTCTTATTAAGAGTAAAAGGACAGCTCAATGTAATGAATTTGAAAGTTATGTTAAAATTCCTTTCAATTAAAAGAGCAGCTTGCTGTTGATGTTATGGAAAGTAGATTATATACTTAATGCACTTTATAAAACTCTTTCTTTATTTTGACTTCTCATGCATTTTTAAACATTGATTTACTGCTAATATTTACTGGAAAAAAACTTGTGACTTTTAGCAGAATCAAAGATTCTTTTTAACTGATAAAGATTCTTAGTATATAAAATCCCTAATATGATAAACTATGAACTCTTTTGAATAATTTGCTGTGTGATTTTTAAAGAGGATTCATACTTCTAGACTTACTTGTTTACTTTTAAGTATGCATATATGAAATGGGAATTTTTATCACCTGACCATTTAAGTTTTATGTATGGTTGGTTAGGCCAGATAAACTCTGTTCCCTACCTTCATCTCAATTTGTTTGGTGTCTAGATTCTGAAATAGCAGCTTTACTCGAGTTTTTCCATCATCTGAAGATCCCTTCAGCTGAGAGAATTTAAATCTCCAGAGCACATTCTGTAAAGGAATGAAATTAATTAGTAATCCAGAAACAAGACCTTACTTATTAATTAACATCTGTCAATAACATTCAATAAGCTCTTTAAATAAATACAGACATTTACTTATTTTATTTACACATAGCATGTAATAGTCAAAATCTCTACCTTCTCATTGTTTAATCTATGCAAACTGTCTTCTTCAAATTCCACCTACTTTTTTTTTTCTTTCCCTCCCTTCAGTCAAGATTCATGTAACTGGTTCCTCATATTATCAGCATCCATTGTCCTGTCTTCTCATCCTGCTTCTATCCTTATTGACCTGAACACAGCTTAAAAGTAGCATAAGATTATTACTCTATTTTCTGCTTGGAAAACATAAAAAATAAAAAAACTACTACAATGTTCCGTTCTTGCAACAGTATATGAGACATGGTCTAGTAGAGTGCAGATGAAATGAAAAACTTTAATCCTGACTGACACCAACTCCATTTGTGGCTGTGCAGAAATCACTTAACCTTAGTTTTTCCTGAACCAAGTTGAAAAATGTAGATAATGTTACCTTTTAATGCTACTGCAAAAATTACTTAATGTTTGCCAAGATACTTTAGAGATTAAATGTATGATATAAATTCTTACTCTTTAATACTAATAAAAAAAGGCTGCAGCAATAAAGACTTAATGGCTATCCTTTATAAAAGGTAGACTTCAATTATAGATACTTTATTATAATTATTCTTTATCTTCTCAGAAAAATCCAATCTAAAACAGCAGTTATTTTGTAGCAAGCTATAAGCTGACTTTCTATTAAAAGCATTTATTTTTAAACTGTGAGCATATTTTTCTGTGTTACAAAATTGAGATGAAACAAAGACAAGTTGGGATAAAAGGAAGGGGTTCGAGGAAGAAGAGTTTCAAAAGTACTTTTATCTCAGTTGACACTGTGACCTGTCTATTCACTACTTAAACACTAACAGTTTTCTTCTCTCCTTTTATGCTGAATCTTGGAGATGACCAGAATCTCTGCATTTCATAGTAAAGTGTCAAAGCATATGTTCCTTCTAGATTTTGAGAAATGTGGAATGCCACAGGATTGTAGAGAACAATCTCCTTAAGTCTTATATTTTCACAGTGGGAACATGAGCTATGCCCATTCAGGCAGGGTCTGGAATTCTGCTTCCAGGTACCAGGGTCCTTCCAGAACTAGAACTATTATAATATTGTCACAATTAGAATATTCTGAAATCACACTTCAATTACTACTTCCTGTGTTAGTAGGTTACAGAAGTGAAGTGTGTGTGTACATTCTTGTTACTAGCAGAGGAAGATGAGCCACTGAAACATTGAAAGAAGCAAAACAAGCAATAAAACAAAACTAAACTAAAACACCAACCAAACCAACAAATAAAAGAACTCTCCTGAAACAAAAACATAAATGTATTTGGAGGATCTATTAATAATTATGGAAATTGAGCTTAGAAAATGTTCCATTATCACAGTTCCACACAACTATGTACCACATATCCCAGTAGAAGAGCATTCTTCTATTCTCTAAACACAATTTCCTGTCCTTCCTAGAGCATCTCATAAGCACACCCTCTGAAGGCTACCAAAGAAGGCTATGATTTCAACATCTTAGATTTAGTTAAAAAAGCACAAATCTCATTTGCCTTTAAAATGATCTACTACAAAAGCTGCTTTGACGAACGTGCAAATGTATGCATGTGTCATCATGAGAAACTAGAAAAATTTTGGATGTCAAGGTTATAAACAAATTCTTCACAAAAGAAGCAGTGCTGAAACTATTTCTCTATGAATAACAAAAACAAATTATTTCGTTCACATTTGATTGAGAAACAAGGAATGATTAATAATGGTCTTCCCTTCTTTGGACAAAATCCCAGGAATATCCTAAATGATCAATATTTTATATAGTACAACAAATTGTTGTTGTTGTTATTTGCCATCGAGTCAGCCCCGACTCATAGCAACCCCTCTTTGGGTTTCCGAGGCAGTATCACTACAGAAGTAGGAATGCCCAACCTTCCTTC